TTTGACAACCATATAGTTGCACAGATAGTAAAAATTCAGGTGACAATATTAAGTTTACATAAATGTGTATCAGAAGTAAACTATACTTCCTTCTCATTCTGTTTAGCATCCATAAATGTATTTCTCTAATGATATGACATCAACGTTTCTAGGGAGACAGGAAGCAGAGAATCCATAGTCTAATCAAACAGCTCCATAAGACCAAGAAGACACAGTGGGTGTGGTTTAAGTGTGCTGTTGTGTACTAGAGGTTGGTTTTGTAGGTCTTGAGATATAGTCCAGTCTAGCTTCAAAATTATTATCCTTCTGCCTCAGCTTTCCTAATTCTGAAATTTCAGGTGTGTAATACACCCTCTATCTGTCTGGTTGTTTTGTCTTAATGAATGAATGTAACCAATATTTAGTTCATTAATAGCATATTGTTTCATTATTATCATACTAAATTATGCATTTAAAATGTAAGAGGTTATTTTCTGCTAAATTGAAATAATTTCATTGCCTTTATTTCCCAAGTACTGAGAACTATCTAGACCCCACCTGTGAGATCATAAGCTCTGGGGGTGTGCAGGCACTCAGGAGGTTCACCACGGGAAGGAACAGGTCTTAAGAAGCACAGACCATCAGGAAATCTGGGTCCTTTACACAAGCCTAACAAGTCTCCTGTCCCCACTTGTTATTACTTACTCTCCCTCCATTCCTTCAGGTGCTTCCATGGTATGAGCTAAACCTCAGATGAAGACAAGGGGAAATGGTAAGACACTATAAAGTTATATCAAAAGCATTCTTATATCTCATTCCTAGGGAGTAAAATGCTCCTTCTCCTCTTCTGTATGTCAAAACATTAACACAAAAGCAACACTTTACCAAATTAGATTTTATCTTCACCAATCCTTTAAACTTATATGTTAATATGATTTTCATTGGACCCCAAGTTCTATATTCTGAGTACACCAAACTTCCTTGCTATTTCTGCCTAATTACCGGCAAGAATTCTGAACTACAGGAACGAAATAGGCAATGGCTAAAGTTCCTGATTATGTTTATTGGGAATATGGACTAAATAAGGCACTTTAATTAGTATCAGACAGAAGGATGAATTGATCTCCAACAAAGCACAAACTGTTGAAGCAATAAAAATTTAGAAAACGTGTCTGAGGCATAATTTAGAATGATGATGGAAGAGATGAATCTCTTTCCTGTTGTTAAAGATGAGTTTGGGATTAAAGTAACTGCACTGGGAAGCTGCAGTTGGTTAGCACTCAGGCAGTGGGTTTAAGGTTATCTGCCTCAGGGAAATGGCTAAGCATTCACATGTTTTAATACACTTTAAAAGGTACTCAGTGTCCATAGCAAACCACAAAGTCTATTTTGGTCAAATTTCTTTGTGAAGAGTAGTCGGTTCTTACTGTAGTATTTTCTTTCTGATAGTGGACAATTTTAATGGACTAAAGTATTCATTAATAAGTTCCCTATAAGAATATTTTTATAACTACATTATGAATATTTTAGAGATTTAATGAGCAACAAGTCATAAAACCTTTTAGTTTTTGTGAAGAGTACTAGTGTTATAGAAATATGTACATAAGTGGACTGTAAGACTTTGTAGAAGCTATGCTAACTAAATAAAAGCCAACTATAGAGAATAAACATTTTATGATTCCATTCTTTTATCTTCCACCCTGATGTGTAACAGACTACAGACAAGTGGGTGTGGCAAAGCTTTTCAAACTATCTTTTAAGGCACAGTAAAATCATGTAATTGAAAATTTTTGTGATTGTCATTTAACTTGGGAAACAAAACACTTGTAATATACATATTACAACCAAATAAAACTGTTTAAGAAGATTATATACAAAAGGCATGGCAATAAGAACTTTTAGGACCCTCTCAAAGCCTCACAGAGTAGTAGGGAAGTTTAAATAAACAAATGTACGTACCAGAAAAGAACTCAAGAATTCAGTGCACTGTGTTGACTAGACTAGACTTCAGCTACATCAGCCATTGGGCTGACTGGTTTGGGGCTTTCATATCCTGAAGCTAAGAAGGTTCTACCATTGACTTTATTTACTATACAAAGTATCTTTGCTACTGCCCAAAAGCACCATAATAAATGAAAATGAAGACATACTAGAGAGATACACACAGATAATGGTAAAATCATGCATAAAGATTAATTACAGTATTAACTACATAAATTAATAAGAATGAAAATCAAAGTCAAAATTTCCACAATGAAGATACTGTGAAAATAGACAAACTTAAAAAACTAAACCAAACTTAAAAAAACTAAATTTAAAAAGAAGAAAATCGTACAAGATAAAAGTTAATTTATATTTCTAAAATTATATATTAAAAAAGTTTAATTGGAGTTATCCTACATGGGAGGTGAGAGAGGGTAGTAGGGATAATGATTTCCCTAGACAGCAGGACATCAAACATAAAGCCTAATACCAGTCTTAGGATACCAGCCTTACAGTTGTGGGTCAAAGTGGTCCCAGAGACTTCCACAACAATACATGAAAGCATCATTTTTCTTGGTTTTCCTCTAGAACATTAAGATCCTATTGCTAAAGATACCAAATATTGGGGCCACAGGGCACAGAACAGCAGTTCTTGACCTGTAGGTCACAACTCCTTTGCGGGTCACATACCAGATATCCTGCACATCAGATATTAACATTACAATTCAAAACAGTAACAAACTTACATTTATGAAGTAGAAACGAAAACTAAATCTATGGTTGGAGGTCACCACAACACAAGGAACTGTATTAAAGGGTTGCAGCATTAGGAAGGTGGAGAACCACTGACATAGAGCAATGAGGTTGATACCTGGACACTTCATTATGCCAGGGGGTGCTATGTATGTTGCTGTGAGATAAGAGTCATCACCTAGTTGTGAACTCTGAATGCTACAATAATGACCAGACTGATAATGTGTACCCATAGGTATAATAGTGGCATAAATTTTACCAACCACTTTCTGTAGGTTGCCCATACTCCAGCAGTGGCTGGCTCAATAACTAACAAGCAGTAATAATTAGTTGGAAAGCAAAAAAAAAAAAAAAAGAACATGAGTTGGGAAGAGAACATGACCTAGGATGGAGGGAATGAAAGGCTGGACAGTGGCAGGCTAAAGATTAAAGGGTGAGGAGTCTGTAAAGGTTGCTTCTGTACACCACGCTACTCTGTTTTCAATCTCTGATCATAACACTTAATCCTCTGGATCTCTCGCCAAAGTAACTGCTTCAAAGCAAAATGATTCTTGTTCATTTCATCTTTAGTGCCTAACCACTGCTGGCCAGGATCTCAGGAGAAGTTTCCTGAATGATCAAGGCGTTCATTGACATCAGGCAAGAAAGAAAACAGGTATGTTCTAAAAACAGGGTTAAAATGAACATCAGCCTCCTTCAGGCCAGAGAGGCAATATTTTTGATGGTACTCTTTCTTTTCTTTTTTTAAATTACTTTACTTATTTTACATTCTGACTGGAGTTTCCCTTCCCTCATCCTCCTCCATTTGTCCCCCCATTCCATCTCTGTTTCTGTTCAGAAAAGGGCGGGCCTCCTAAGGGTATCAACAAAGCATTGAGTATCAAGTTGCAGTAAGACTAAGCACCTCCCCTTGTATTAATACTGGGCAAGACAATCCAGTATGAGGATCAATGTCCCAAGAGCCAGATAAAGCAGTAGGGTCAGCACTTTGGAATCCTACAAATAGACCAAGCAACATGTAGAGGGCTTAGGTCGTTCCCATGCAGGCTCCCTGGTTGTTGGTTCAGACTCTGAGTTCCTACAAGCCAGGTTAGTTGTTTCTGTGAGTTTTCTTGAGATGTCCTTCCTTGACCCTGCTGGTTCCTACAATTGTTCCTCTTTCTCTTCAGCAGGATTCCCAGAACTTGGCTGTGAGTTTCTGCATGTGCTTCCTTCAGTTGCTGGATTAAGGCTCTCTGATAACAATTGGGGATGCTATCAATCTGATCATAGGGGATGGCCAGTTTAGGCTATATATCCACTGTTGATAGGAGTCTTAGCTGGGGGGGTCATCGTTGTAGATTTGTGGGAGTACTTTCCCTCTCCACCCACCCCAACCTGATTCCATCCCCACTGGCCCCCAGTCCACTCAGGAGATCTCCTCTATTTCCCCCTCCCAGGGATATCTATGTACCCCTACTTGTTACCTAGTCCAGAGAGCCAGTTTCTACCACAGATAGTGAAGCTTCCCAAAGCTAAATCAGTAAAGACAATATCTTCTAGGCTTCATGAAAGTCATTTTCAAAGTTTGAAACACAGTAAGTCAATAAATGATAGTTTTATCATTTCTGATTTTAATTTTAAAATGTTCTTTTGCTTTTCAAGACAGGGTTTCTCTGTATGGTTTTGGAGGCTGTCCTGGAACTCACGCTGTAGACCATGCTGGCCTCAAACTCACAGAGATCCGCCTGCCTCTGCCTCCCAAGTGCTGGGATTAAAGGCGTGCACCACTGACGCCGGCCTTCATTTCTGATTTTTATATGGTATTATTATTTAACTGCTTACTCATTGAATCACTCCAAGCTTCGGTGGAGAATCTTTTCTCCATTTGTATACTACAGAACCCACAGGAAAGGGGAAGCTACCACAGCACAGTCTCAGTCATCTACACAGGTTCCCAAGCAACACTGGTACCAACTCAGCAGTCCTTACACACAATTTAGAAGCAAATGTGTTGCTGCATGGTGATCAGCTTCACATCTGTATCAATTTGAGAGGCAGTGGTGGTGGGGACGTGGGAAAAAGTAGAAGAGAAAAGACACGGGAGGGGCCTGAGGGGGAAAGGGAAGGGAGAATGACGTAACTATATTTCAATTAAAAATAACATAAAAAGAGAAATGTGCACGGTGATCCCAACGCAGTTGAGACAAAGCTAGCCACACGGTTCCAGTTCCTGGGTATGCAACTGTATAGGATACATTTTTTTGGTTGAAATAAAGTGTCTTCCTTTATTTCAGTGAGCTTACTGTGGCCTTGAAGCTTCAGCCTGGTCCGTCTGCAGCTTCTCTCCCCCCTCCACCTCCATTGTACAGTAGACGATCCGGTTAGGAGCCACCGACTTCAAACCTTGCACTTCCATTATGACGATCTAGAGGTAAAACGACTTGGAATTAATGTGTAAAACTGATGCTGGTCAAGAACGGAGGAGCAACTGCATGACTGTTTGGTAAGGATCTCCTAGCTGAGGATCTAATGGCAGTCGGTGGCTTCTGGGAAAGGGAAAGGCAGTTTTCTTCTGAGGTTTGACTCCTGGAATGTTGACTGAGCTCCAGAGGATGGCTTCAAGCCGTGTCCATTTGGGTCACGCTAATTCTGGACTTTGTGGAAAACACACACACACACACACACACACACACACACACACACACACACGAGAGGAGATGGAGTTGAGTTGGAAGTGGGAGTTGGAATGAAAGGGGATCTTGAAGGAGTTGGAGGAGGGGAATTAGGGTGCTGATATGATCAAAATAGTTTATATACAAACATGAATAAATAATAAAATTTAAAGGAATAGTAGCGTGAACATTCAGGAGTTCGAAGAGCAACTGATGAATTTATCTAGTGCCATCTATAGTATGTCTTGTACATATAAATTTCCAAGGAGGTGTACAAACCAGCCCAAACATTAGTGAGAAAGAGCCAGTATTCACAGACCATCGGCCAATTGAACTGTAGCTATTTCAGTTGATTCTCAACAAAACCTGATCATGACACCACAGACAATACAACTGAGCTGGGCTGTATGTCGCGCCATGTCTCCTCGGTCTTTGTGTGGCTAATGCAATGAGAAGAAAATAGACAAGGCTGTCCTACAAGAAAAAGGGAAGGGAGGCACCACACAGTATGCACAGAGCAACAGGTAACCACAAGAGTACATGATGCTTAAACAGGCAGCTAAGCAGTATGGGGGAGCATGACCATGTATCAGCAGACCCACTGGCTGGCACAAGGTCTGCTAGCCTAACGTGAATGTAAAATTTCAATGTGAAATTAACCAGATTCAAGCCACAGATCCCCCATGCAGCTAACAGGCTCCTAAGTTGACAACCATTTGCTTTTCTTGTTTTGCTTGATGTTCATGCCCTTTGACATGGCTTGTTCTGTGTGTTAGCTTGTGTTCTGCTCCATCATTCCTTCTAAAGGCTTTGTGGATGGAGACTATGCAAATGTAATTCCATATGCCTAACTGCTTTTGATGCCATAAACTCCCTTTACGCGTTCAATATACACTGCTTGAACTAAGTGCAGGCACTGGCGAGGTGTTTTCTGCACACCAGTAAACAGAAAATTGGGGGTGGGTTGTCTTTTCTGCAGCTGACATGTCAGTAGCAGAAGTCAGGTTCTAATGGATATAATAAGTCACTGAGCCACAGCTTGGCAGTAGGGCTGTGCTGAAAGGGAGCTTGGTAAGCAAGAGGAACAGTTAGGAAAAGGGAGCAAGAGCCATTCCTCAAGAGAAGGGTGACATGAGAAAAGCTTTTCCAGTCTGTGCTTTACTTCTTGAATCCTAGATTCACTTCTTGGGTAAGATACCTACTACAGTTCTAAGCCCCCAAGCTGAAATGTGAGAGCTAGGCATCTACTGCTGACTTTTAAGAGCTTTCGCTGTTGACATCAGGATCCAAGGAACCAGCTTTGCTTCATGGGCCTGGCTGGTGCAACAGCCTGTGGTAGGAAGGTTAGCCACGCATCCCTCAGGTGTTCTGGACCATCCTTGCTTAGCGTGATTTCATTGTGATGCTGAGCACATAACTCATTCATGCAGCACCGTGGGCACAGAAAGCAGATTTGTATTCATCTATGGACGCAAAATACCTGCCTTAGACAGATGCGGCAATAAAGGCTGCCAAAACAGTTTTATAAATATGCAGCTTCTCAGACCACACAAAAGGAAGTTTCAACCTGCATTTTCTTCTTTAGAGATTGCATTGCCAAGCCAGTAGCTCAATCTAACATATTGGTAATAAAGCACAGAATAACAATTCAGTCACTTGGCATTACCATACAAGCCCAGTTTTGACTTTGACAGGGAAAAAGAACTCGCAAGTTACTCATGAGTTACTAATACATTTGAAGACTTTTAAACAATAAAAAGGGAAATGGAAATGTGAGAACTGTATTTTCACTTCTGGATATTCATTTAAGATGTGAAATTATATATCATTAAAATTATTTTCTCTATATTTTCTTCCCATAAACTTAAAATGCAAAGGTCTTGTGAGAATGAAGTTGCATTGCAATTAAATAATTTAGGAGAATATTTTTTAAAGTGTTAGCATCTTTTTCTTTTCTGTCAGCCAATTATTTAAGGCAGGAAATGATGAGAAAATTCAAAGTATAATCCACTATGTAGTTCCAAATCAAACACTCATGTTCTGAAGCTGGAGAGACTGAAAAAAAAAACCCAGAGGCAAAGCAATTTGGCAAAGCCATTAGGTAAACCCAGGATGGATTGAGTTATAAGACAGCCACATATTTTTACTCTGACACCAGGTTTAATACATTTATCTACAAAGCAATCCTGGAAGTGAAGAAAGGGAGGCAGTTGTCACATCCTCGAGTCCATTAAATGGAGGAAAAAGAACCAAAGTAGATACTTGCTTTTTCTGCTATCACTTAACAAGTTGAACATTATCAAAGAATGTAAAATCTACCTCCCATGGCCAGTTAGCAAATACAAACAGTCTAATTGGGAATTGCACCAAGTGAGAAGCACAGTCTAAGGAAAAGCTTTGGGAGAAGGGCTGGGGCGATGGCTCAGGGAGTAAAGACTTTGCTCTGAAATCATGAGGACCCAAGTTCAGATCTCAGAACACATATGTGGCAGCAGTGCCTGTAACCCTAGCATTGTGTGTTAGGGTAGTGGTGGGGTAGAAACAGGCAGATCCTGAGGGCTCATTGGCTAGCCAATCTGGCTAAAATGGGGAACTCCAGGTTTCCAGTGAGAGACCCAATCCCAAAAAGTAAGCCGGTAAATGGTTGAGGAAGACGCCCTGATGTTAAATTAACTTCTGGCTTTTACATGTGCCCACAAATGCGCACACACACACACACACACACACACACACACACACACACACACACACTTCAGAAGCTATAAACTTATGCTTGACACTGCTGACATTGGCACTCAGAACAATATCGTGAGATGAAAAGGCTAGAATGTAAGCTAAATGATGACCTTACTCTGTATAACAATACAGTCTTTTATCATCACTTACTTTATATAAGGTCTTTTTCCAAGAACTTTTGTGGGAATGGGTGTATAAAATCACAGACACAGTCAATATGTCCAGATTAGACACTAACACATATTAACACACTCTCCTGGGAGACAGGAATGAGCAGCCTGGGTATGGCTGGTTCTCTGGATTTGTATAAAATGGACACAACTCTGAGGTTTTGCAGACACACTTCTAAACCTGTGGTTTTGTTCCTGTTCAGGTCATGTCTCCTATCTCTGTAATAAAAGCAGAACTCCTGAAAAAGAATGTTTTCATCATCATAGCACCCAACGCCATGCTTTATTTACAATGGTGTGCTTGAATAAGTTCGAGAATGCTAACCCATAGGTGAAGTAAACTAAAACCCAAGTTAATCAAAAGCCAGATCTGTCTAATCTTCTGTCTAAAGCCATTTATATGTTTAAACCCTGTTTCCACCTCCTTGTATTTGATGCTTATTTTTTCAATGTACTTATACTAGTTTAAAAGGTACATACCCATGCCTTATAGCTGTTTCATTCATTCTAATATGGGTGCTACATTTAAAACTTGTATTCATCTGCATATAGAGCCTATTTGTTCAGACAATGAACACTGCTTTAACATTTTCATTACCCTGCTTTAAATTCTAAACCTTATCTCAAAGGTCAATGGCAAATCTAGGCAGCCTCATGTCTGTAGTGAGGGGAAGGGAACGCTGCTTACCTCCAAGGTGAATGACAGCACCACATCAGACTTGGACAGCTGGATCTCATTCTCATCTCCTAGGTCCAAAAATGCTGAATTCTGGGAGCGCTTTAATTTTTGTAATTTAAATTCTGGACCACCTTTTGAAACGGGAAGACTTTCTAGATTGGCCATTAGCAAATTCACGGAGGCCCGCAACTCTTCTATGTACATAGTCTCCATTTCTTTCGAGATAAATCGGGGAAATCTTCTTTCCTTAAAAACAATGAAATGTTATGTCATTCCCATTACAGGTATGGCAGAAAAGACTACATGATGCAACGACTCACCTGGTTCTATGATTCCTTCCATATTCAGTCTGGGGGCTTAAAAGCCCCAAGTTTTCACTATATCTAAGGGTACCTTATGTGGTCTATGTAGAACCACTGTGGTATGGGACAAATAACATTACACATATTCTTTCATACTGATCATTCTTACAAGATGCACATAAGTGAAAACAGCTGTGGTGAAATGGCTTAGTGTATACATAAATCTTAATTAGCCACCATCTTTGAAGGGTTTAGAGTAAGTGGTCTGCAAGAAAATATACAGGATACACTGTTCTGCTAACCAGAAGAAAACCATTTTCCTCGATCCATTCTTTCCGTACTTGTATACTATTTGGACGTTGCACTCTTTGTACATAAGCGCTTACACTAAAACCCCCTTTACTGCAAGTAATACGGATCTGTTTCTAGAACTGGATAATTCTCACTTTGCACAAACATGCAAGGATGCCCTGTGACCATAATTCAGTCTTTCACTAAAGGCTTAGAAAAAACACTGACTTTAAAGCCAAAGGCCAGTTTGTGACAGGAATCTGATATGTGAAAAGGAGGTAACAGTATTAATCTGGACGATTCCATTCTATTTCAGGAGTGCACTGACAGCTTATTTTCTATTTCTGCAGTCAGCTTCTCATTTCTCACAGTCCATTAAAGACAACAGCCCGGAGGCTGAAGAGATGGCACAACAGTAAAGAGGACCTCGGTTGGCTTCCCAGTGCCCACATGGTGCCTTGCAACCATCTGTAACTTCAGTTCTAGGGGACCCAACTGCCCTCTCTCTCCTGACCTCCAGAGACATGCATACGATACACAGATATACCTGCAGGCAAAGCACTCCCACTCATGAAAGAAAATAGATAAAATGAAAAGTGTAGAGCACAACATTCAGACATTGGTATTTATAGCCAAATTGTCCTGAGATTACGCTAATTTATATTCCATAAAACAGCAAAAAAGAACCATTTTTTCCCTCTCTATTCTTTGCTAACTTGACATTTGGCTCCTTCCTTCACTGCAGAGATGTACTTATTATTACATGAGGGGGAACGTTCTGTCACTCCCAATGTAAGCTAAGGATGGAGGCCTATTTCAAATGATGGTCAATTTCAAATGATTTTTGAATGTTCCAGAAAATCTCAGGCTTCACTGTTGCTTTCATTGGTATCACTGAAAACCACGCCTTCAGTAACAGCATCCCTTACAACAGCAGTGGGAGGCATCCAGATGTTCCTAACGAATGCAGCTGGCCTCTGACTCGCCTGCACCAGGTCCTTCTCTGCACAGACTGGGACATCTGAAATCACATCAGGGATCAGCCTAGCCGTCCCAGGCTGCCTGCTTCTCTCCTCCAATTTAACCTTCAGATACTCTTCTGCAAATCATTTACATACAATCGATATTAAATTACAAATTTTCACAAACATTAGACTTCTGCATTAATAATTAATTTTCCTCAAGACCTTAAGTCAGAAGCCTCGTCACTAAATCGAAATTTTGCATATCCAGCAGGACAATTTCTTAGTTTCCTTATGAAAAAAATCAAGGTGAGTCAATGTTCTTTTCCATAAAGGCAAAAAGGAAAAGGAATTCATTAAACCACAGCTTTGCAATTTTTATGACCTAATTAATTTTATGTATATGAGTCTGTCTGATACTTGCAGATGCCAACAGAGGGTTCTGGGCTCCCCTAGAACTAGAGTTAGACATGGTTTTGTAAGGGGTCTTAGGTGGGTGGCAGAAACCATGTCTTTTCTCAAGAAGATGCTCTCAAACTTGCATCTCTCCAGCCCCAGTTTTATGTTTTGGATAAGCTTTAAAGATTTCTGTGGGGCAGGGCCTAGGCCCTCCCCTAATTGTGTTTGCTGTAACAAATATACCCTGGGCTTCTCATATAAAATTCCAATTCTGTTTTGTCATTTGGGGTGACAGAATGACGACGACTTGGGTGGCATGGATTCATGTTTTTTTTTTTTTAAACAATCTTTTTTCATTTTACATACAAATCCACCCTCCCCTCCTTTGGATTCCATCACCTTTCCCCCAACCCACCCCTATCTGCTCCTTAGAGAGGATGAGGCCTCCCATGGGGAGTCAATCAAGTCTGTCACATCACATTGAAGTAGGACCAAGGCCCTCCCCACTGTATCTAGGCTGCACAAGGTATTCCTCCATAGGGAGGAAATGGGCTTCAAAAAGACAATTCATGCACCAGGGATAAATCTTGGTCCCACTGCCAGTGGCCCCAAAAACTGCCCCAGCCACACAACTGTCACCCACATTCAAGGGTCTAGTTTGGTCCTGTGCAGGTCCCCCAGCTGTCAGTCTAGAGTTTGTGAGCTTCCACTAGCTCAGGTCAACTATTCCTATGGGTTCCTCATCACTAGCTCAGGTCAACTATTTCTATGGGTTCCCATCACTAGTTTAGGTCAACTATTTTTTTTATTTTTTTTATTTTTAACATTTTTTAAATTTTTAAAATAGCTTGTTTTACATGTCAATCCCAATTCCCTCTCCCTCCCCTCCTCCCGCAAACCCCCCCCCGCCATTCCCCCCATCCTCCCACCCTATTGCCAATTCCTTCCACATAGGGGATATCTAGAGTCTGTCATTTCACTCAGGGCAGGGTCCAGGCACTTCCCTAAGAGTCCAGGCAGAGAGAGCAACCCTCTTTGTGTTATGGACACATGATGTCTGTTAGTATTCAAGGGATAAACACTGATCCACTGCTCAGGACCCCATAGGTAGCCCAGGCCTCCTCATTGACTCTCACATTCAGGGGGTCTGGATCAGTCCCATGCTGGCCTCCCAGCTGTCGGTCTAGGGTCCAAGAGTTCTCCCCTGTTCGGATCAGCTGTCTCTGCTGGTTTTGCCAGCCCATTCTTTGCCAATTTGCTCTTCGCTCCTCTCTCTCTGTCACTGGGTTCCTTTGGTTCTGTTCAGTATTTAACTGTGGGTGTTTGCCTCTGCTTCCATCAGTCACTGGATGAAGGCTCCAGGATGGTTATAGACATCAAGTGCACTATCAGGAATAGGCATTCGAGGTGGTCTCTACACTATTGCTTAGCTTGCCAATTGGTGTCATCCATTTAGATCACTAGAGGTCACAATGTCTTGACAGACTTTGATGATCCCTCATGGAAGGCCTCACCCTCCCTGGGGAGTGGGTGGGGGATGGAATGGGGCCATGGGAGGATGGGAGGGAGAGGGAACTTCCATTGTTATGTAAAATAAGATTGTTTCTAATTTAAGTAAACTTTGTATTAAAAAAAAAGAAAGTTAAAAAGAAATCCACAAGTAAAAAAAAAAGCTTTCTGTGAAGAAAAAAACAAAAAAGCTTTGGGGTTGGGGGGGCGGGGAGAAGGACAGATTTGTTCAGAGACAGACAAGATAATGCTCATCTTTGACCACCAGGGGGCCAGGTACAGAGTTACACTTCCTGTTTACTAGAGATTAAACATTACAGAGAGAGAAATTGCAAGTTAGCTTCTGCGAGTTTGTCTGGAAAAGATGCAAATATTTGTCTTCTATTTAAAACAGCTCAATGGTTACAATATAAGTGTGCATTCTAAATTAACCACTTTTTGTAACTAAATCCAAGAAAGTTAAAGAATGCCCAAACACTTTGTTTCTCAGATTCTCTTTGGAATATTCTCACTAACTAGCTTGCCCACTGATGATAATACATTGAATAAAATACTGCATTTTAATTTTGTATTTGTATGGAATTTATAATTGCCTTTTAAAATTCTATCTTCACAGAGGAGTGAAAAAAGAAAACTTGTGACATATTTGAAAGCTCAGATGCACCATTTTTTTTCAAAATTCCAAGGTGTTGCTTTATGAAAACAAGCATTAGCACATGAAAGAAAACCTATTTGTATTTAGGTGTTGCTAAACACACTTCATCATTATCTCTCAAAGAAGAAACCGATCGGCATCATGAAAATCGATTTATTATTTCAGTTTAGTGGGGAGCTGATTACATTGTATCCTTAATTTATTTTATGAAAAAAGTCCTCATAAGCCTTCTTTTAAAGATTTCACACTCATGGGAAATATTTCATCAACTTCATTTAACCCTGCTTCTGTTGACTCTTGTAAACCAAAGAGTCGATCATATATCCGATCAGCACATATGTTAAATCTGATCATTTATGTGAATGGGATTAGACAAGAAGGTACTTTCAAGTTGTTAAACTGTGAGTTTTCTCCAAAAGTGAATCTAATCTGGCCCCGTGGGCACCAAGGCACACTAGTGCCTCTAATATGATGATAAATGTTAGAACACGAATGCTTGCCTTCTGCTAAGGTCTCAGTTGTTGGAACTCACTGTTTCACATGCTCTCGACTTTCCTCTTTACTTTCTAGCCAGGCCCACACTGCTCGTGAGTCTCCCCAAGCTAAAAAATCTCTGCCTTGTCTATCATGACTGACCAGGTTCCTTTAACACCAACGTATGCAATGCTCCAAAATACAAAGCTTTTTGAGCACTCTGATGCCATATATCTGATACATGACATATACAGTCAAAACTTAGGCGTACCATGTAAATACCTCACAAAGACACCTTCAGCCTATTCAATGAAGGCATAAAGTATCAATGTAATAGACTCTGTGTTTAGACAAAGGTCCTACTGATGAGACTTCCTATGTACACACAAACACACTAAAACCTGAAAAATTCCAAATCCGGAATACTTCTGGCCCCAATCACTTTGGACAAGGGATAATCAATCTGTATTAATTTTAGGGTTATAGTATCATTTGAACTACTGGATGTAGACGTAGTCCCAAAGGCAATGAAAGTATTTGCAAATTTGAGCAAATTCAGTTATCTCTATCTCACTGATAGTCTCTCTCCCTTTCTATTTAAACACACTCTGCATGGGTGAAGGCAAGTCTCACAATTATGCCATAAATTCAGTCCTGCCCTGGCTTTCTGATGATAATGTGTAGTTGGCAAAGATTCTGCCATTCAAAAGACATCCATGTGGGCTACAGAGATGACTGAGAGAGTAACAGCACTTTCTGCTCTTGCAGAGGACAGATGCTCGATTCCCAGCATCCATGTAACTGTCTTTAACTCTAGTTCTAGGGATCCAATGACCTGTTGGGCTACATGTGCCAGTATTCATACATATATGTAGGCAATATCGTAAGTAACCTTTTGCCCATGCTCCTATGAGGAAAAAAAGATAACACTCACTGGTTCACTAAGCTGGACTTGAGCGGAGTATTTCCTTTAGTGTGTCACCAAGTCCCCTAGTGGGGTGACTAAATGTTTGCTCCCAACTTCACAGTAAAAGGTATACAATGACTATATGGGTGGGCCCCATTCAGAAAGCTTTTAAAGACCTTAAGAAGAGAAGTTAATTTGTCCTGGAGACCAGCAATTCTGCTTCAAGACCGCAAACCTAGAAGACCTGCGTGAATCTCCCTTCTACAGGCCTGCTCTGCAGGTGCAGGCTTAAGGCTACACTGCCTCTTAACTGAGTTTCCAAGCTGCTATATACACAGGTAGAAAATAATAGCTTTTCTTCCTCCCCATCTATCTGGCTTCCTGTGCATTCTGTCTATGTGAACAGACCAAATAATACATGCAAGAGGGCATGAGTGTCCACAGGCAGCTGTAAGGAGGACACTGGGTCTGGGCAAAGACCTTGGGGCAAGAAAAGCCAGGGGTCATGATAGATAAAATGAACTGAGCAAGCACCAGAACTCAGTGGTACTTAAGATCAGTTGGGCAGTAAACCAATCACAGCACACTGTACAGACCTTTAACAACATTTGACACTCATGGACACAGCACTTTCTTAAGGCTTTTGCAGAGAATCGCTTGCTGTTCTCTTGCCGGTTAGGGGTAGACGGTAATACACTAACTAAAACGATAGAACAATTTCCCTGATGAAAAGCAGTGATGACTGAACCCAAATAGAAGAGGAAAAATGGCAACAACTGCCACACAGTAGAGCTATTTCAAAAGTAGGAGCAAGCAGAGAGTGTGGTGGTGACTCATGTCCGTAATCCCAGCACTCAGGAAGCTGAGGCAGAAGGGTCAGGTTTCTCTCTGAGGTTACCCTTGGCTGAAGTGAGATCCTGTCTGAAAAAATAAGTAGAGGCAAAAGGATTTCCTAACAAGTTTTGCATGAAGCATGAGAAAAAGAAAGAAGTCAAATGCGACGCCAAGTTTTTGTGGCTTGAGTAACAGGAAAAGTGGTGCTCTCAGAGCTGGTCTAGCCTAGTCACCTGACCATTCACCCCCTTCTTCCTGTACAGCCAACCCCATGGATCTGTTTTCTTGGTAGTAACAATTATCTTTCATAATTTAGCAACACAACATTTTATCACATATTATGGGCCTTCCCGAATAAAATATAAGCTGTATTTGGGATGTACGAATATTTCTGTCTTGTTTTAGTCCAAGGAAATTATACTTTGTCTGGCTTTATCCTAAGCACCAAGGATAGTTCTTGCTTATACTAGTGTATGTCCAGTAAGTATATTGTGCAATAAATATGAAGATCAAAAACTAAATAATTTGTATACTACTGCACATCTAAAAAGGAAACATGGACTTATCTATAGGTTTTCTCAGCCTTGTTAACATTTCCTAACTTCCTCCTTGGCTAAAATAATAAAAATCGACATCCCAATTGCTTGACACAAATTTCTGTTCTGTGATTTTGCTGTTACTATATTGTTTATACTCCTTTATGAAGTATGGAAGGGGGTGTTCTTGATTGCAAACTGGTAACGAATCAATAGACTGCACTTATCAGACTAAGATAAGTGCAAAAGGTAGGGAGCAGCTAGCTTCTAGAGCCCAGGGCAGGGCCTTTGACTTATTCCACTGTGATGGGGATGAAATGAGTAATTTTCCAAAGCCTCAGCTCTGTCTATAGAACCCTTGCTATTGCCAGCCCTTGTGGTTCACAGGGTAATGAAAAAAGCATCAATCAACAAGGTCAGCGTGTTGAGGAATTAGTCTTTTTTTGTTTTTTTATTATTTATTTGTAAATTTAAATTTAAATTAGAAACAAGGTGCTTCACATGTCAATTCCAGGTCCCTCTCCATTTATGAATTAGTCTTTTAAGTCTTAGTCTCAGACTAAGTGGAGAACAGTGAAACCTGTTCTATATGCTATAGACATATTTCTGCTAATATGCTTTGTACTTTCGAAGCATTTCACACTTCCAATCCCACGTTTCACTTCCTTCCCAGTACTTTCCCCAATTAGTCACATCTCTACTGAGACCAATGGGCTCTCTCAAAGGGAAGCCTTCTTGGTCATTGTTGATCAGGAAAGGACTTGTAAAAATACATTCTCTGTAGACATGAACTTGAGAACACACCTGAGACTTTCCTTTGTAACCATCCAGAACATCATGCAAACTGAACAGGATAACAATCATATACATCTAGGCCTCTGGAGTAACAGGTCCAATTTATAATTAGGCAGCAGTAAAGGTTCATCTAGACTTGTCCCTGGATTCTTTCCTGGCCTTTGGCCTATAAAAAGGCAACCAGCCTTCTAGCCAGGTTCAAAACAGGCTAGCATTTTTGATAAGACTGTTCTATCTCTAAATTTGCCGGTAGCTTGCAATTTCTGGATTTCTGTGTTGTGAATTACACAATGCACCCTCTGGAATGGTTCAGTGCCTCTGTCAGTGTCTAGAGGAGAGCAGAAAGACGTCCTTTCAACCCTGCTCTATGTATGAACATCACTCTCCAGCCTCTCATTCACAGCATCCCATATGGTCCGGTCATCTGGATATTCTCCCTTTAAAATCTGCCTTGCTTCACACAACCTACTACCAACCCTATTACCCAATCTCTGCTTGTCTTTCTCTTTTTCTGTCCAATATCTCAATCTGTTCTCTAGCCTTAAATTTAGACAGAGTATTAGCACTCTGAAAATATCATATAATCACAAATATATTGTTTTTCTTGGCAGAAGTACACAATGTAGCTTTGGAGTCAGCATATGAAACATATTCTCAGTGCTGGGGAAATTCACTGTCTTGGCTTAAGTGGACAGACATATACTCATTCTGTAGTAAATGATCATGAATGTTGATATACATGTCAGATAAGAGAGAGGAGGGAGAAAAGAGAGAGGACAAAGAGGGAGAGAGAGAGAGGAGAAAGATACAGAAAGGAAAAGAGAGAGGGAGGCAGGAAGGATCACACAGGGGAGAGGGAGGGAGAGAGGGAGGGAGGGAGGGAAGGAGGGAGGGAGAGAGGGAGGGAGGGAGAGAGGGAGTGAGGGAGGGCAGGACACTCTAACTACCATCTACTCAGTTTTGTTCAGCAGAAGGGGAAGGAAGGAAGTCTTATGTGCTGAGCAATGCACAGCTGTGTCATCAAAATTCTATTGTGAAGGATTACATATTTTATATCATTGAAGTAAATCAATCTGTCAATTCACACCAAAGAACAGTTTTGATGGTTAAGATGTATCGCTCTAAATACCCAAATTATTAAAGACAAACCCAGCTTTTGTTTTAAATATATTTCAGTTTTCAAAAATAGCGATTATGAAAGCAAAAATCACAAGGAATATTATAGAAAACATACTTCCTCCATCTTAGACATTTCAAATTATATTTTGGACTGCCAATCATTCCATAAAATATTAGTTGGCACCACTGTTTGCCAGCCAGCGTCCTGGGAATTTTGGAATTCATATGATCTTATAAGGAAACTTTTCTCCCTGGTTTTATTTTTCCTGATGTAACATTAAAACACTTGCAGATCTAGTTAGCAGTTAGAAAAAAATCAGATACTTTTAAACTATTACAAAAGTTATCACATAGTAAGCATGAAAACTCTAGGTAGGATAGTGTACTCCATTTAGGAAATGTGAATTCAAATACTTGGGATTAAGAGGTTATTAATATGGAAGAGCAAGTCATAGTTCATGATGGGTATGTCTGTCTGTGTCAAGCATGCTTTTGGAGGACAGACATCCAGACAAGGAAACATATTAGCCTGCATAACATACCTTTGCCATTTTCTCTGCCAACTGCAGGCGGCCATCAAGCTCTCTTCTGATCTGGGCTGCTTGCTCATCGGCATTATCCAGCTTAAAATGAAAAGAAATGCACGTGTGTGTAAAATGGCAACTCAGTGGCATAAAAACAAGATTGAGTGACTAACAAAGCTTCAGTAAATTCCCTTACCTGCCTATCTGCCTAGTTCTACTGTGGCCCAATTATATTACATTTCAGTGGGTTTTAATCACAAAATGTTAAATTTGTGAGATTCACTAGTTGCATTTATTAAGAAATCTAATTACTATAATAACCCTGTGCCTAATGTGTTAGCAACAAACCTAAAACAAGAAGTCCTTGTTTCCTTGAGGTTGACACAACTTATCATCAAATTTGTTTATCCCATTTTCTCTTCAAGAAGGTCAGTCCTGAACACTGCAGCATTAATGAATTTCTTATTTTGTTTTCTTTTGGATGACAAGATGTTGATTAACATTTCACTTCTTATTTCCCATGTTTAAAGTATCTCTTCATTTTTTTGGTGTGTATTAATGCTAAACAGTAAAAGTACTAGCTACTTGACTGACAACTTTCTGCCATTTAAGTCTACCTGCATTGCCCTTTCTAGTGACGACACTCACGCAGCCGAGAAATGCTTGCACATTTCTACAGACACACATTACATTAGAGTTCCATGCAGTGTTTTAAATTTGATAAAAGATAAATAAAAAGGCAATCATCTTTCAGCAATCCCCAACATATATGGAAAATTATTTTCATTTATTAATTGAAATCATTCTTAACTTTCACTACAATGTCTCCATGCTACTCCCCCTTCCCAATTACTCAATCTTCTTTTATCAGTTCGTCCTAAGATGTTAAATATGTGATATTAAATGGTAAATTCCTAAAATCAAAAACACCAATGACAATTTATGCTGGAGAGGATGTGGTGAAAGGGGGACACTCCTCCATTGCTGGTGGGAGTGCCAACTGGTTCAGCCACTTTGGAAATCAGTATGGAGATTCCTCAGAAAAATGGGAATAAACCTACCACAAGACCCAGCAACTCCACTCTTAGGCATATATCCAAAAGATGCCCATTCATACAACAAAGAAGTCTGTTCCACTATGTTCATAGCAGCGTTATTTGTAATAGCCAGAACTTGGAAGCAACCTAGATGTCCCTCACCCGAAGAGTGGATAGTGAAAATGTGGTATATTTACACAATGGAGTACTATTCAGCAGAAAAAAATAATGGAATCATGAGATTCGCAGGCAAATGGATGACACTAGAAGAAACCATCCTGAGGGAGGTAACCCAGTAACAAAAAGAGAAACATGGCATGTACTCTCTCATATATGGATTTTAGACATAGATCTGGGGAGTGCCAGCCTACAACCCTATGGCCAGAGAGTCTGGGAAACAGAAACTTCATTTAGTGGCTGATCGAAGAAGAGGCAGACTCCCTTGGTTAAGTACTGAGCTGAACTCAAGAAAGCCAGTAACAGAGAGGGAGGACTGATGATCAAAGGGATTAAGACTGGGCTGGTTTAACCCCCAGAAACAGCTGACCTGACAAAGGTTAACTCTTGAATCCCAGGCATCAGCCTGGGAATCCAGCATGGGAATGATCAAGACCCCCTGAATCTGGGTGTCAGTGAGGAGGCCTAGGGAATCTATTGAGCCTTGGGCAGCAGATCAGTACCCATCCCAAGTATACACACAGACTTTGGACTCCCATAGAACAACGTGAGGTGCACTCTCACCCTGAACTCTTGGGGAAGGGTCTAGGCCCTGCCCTATATGAAATGACAGACTATGGACACCCCCATGGAGGGCCTCACCCTCCCTGGGGGAATGAGGGGATAAGGGGGGGATGGGGGGAGGGCACGGGAGGAGGGGAGGGAATGGGAGAGGGACCTGGAACTGACTTGTGAAGCAATCTCGTTTCTTATCTAAATTTAAACTGGAAAATAAAAAAAAATAAAAAAAATTAAAAAATGGTAAATTCCTTCTCACTTCAATCTATTCTCCTTTCCTGTCCTCATTATCAAGAAGCTAGACCAAAGGATATAACCATATTTTATTGAAGATAATTTAAATATTTATGTGTATGTGTGTGCCTGTGTGAAAGCTTGATAAATGTGTACAGGTGTTCCTGGAGGCCAAAAGAGAGTATTGGATCCCATAGATTTTGAGTGTGAGTGCTGTTTGTTTCTTCCATAGGAGAAAAAAATACAATAAAAAGGCAATTTGCATCTAAAGGAGTCATAGATTTTCCCCTCAAAACATTAGCATTTGAAGAAGCCACAAAATCCTTCAAATTTCACCAGGATGGTTTTTACCTCATCAAAGGCATACATCTTTAGACTAATAGTTTTACTTATTTTTCTTTTTCCTGGACAGGGTTTCTCTGTTAGCCTGAGCTGTTTGTTCTTTAGACCAGGCTGGCCTCAAACTCAGATGTTTCTGCCTCTGTCTTAGGAGTGCTGGGATTAAAGGCATGTGCCACCACCATCTAGCTGTTTTACTTAATTTTTAAGGAATGTTGTTCCACTCATTTCTGCAATTTAGTGTGGTTATTCTGCAAGAGACACCAATACCTTAATCGCATTTGTCTAAGGAGGGAGGCAAAGGCAAGAACGTCTGCCCTGCATCTCTTCTTTGCAAAATGAACACTTTAGAACTCAGGATTCCTAACTTAGTGAGTTGAGACACTGAGCATTTCTGACCCCTCATGGTATCCTATTATAAACACACCTCTCCCCTTCTACCCAACCCCCAGATGGTAAGTTTTAATACTGATGAACTTCATCTTACACAATGTTTAAAAATATATTCTGTTAAGGCAAAGAGGATTTTATTTTAATTTACATAACAAAATAGGAGATGCTCCCCAGAGAGGGTAACACTGATACACAAGCTTTGAGTTTGAAGCCTTTGACCTTTTTCCAACCAGAAAGGGCCTGAGTGGCCTCATCATGTTCAAAACTAGCACCACGTACTAAAAACTCTGATGTACGTATCTCTGGTACAGCATCCCATGGGACATCCAGACTTACCGTTAACTGTCTTCTTAAAAATTCAACTTGTAGGAGAAACTGCGGTCAGTCTAGCAGTCACCCTGTCCCCAATGTCCAGGCCGGCTGGCATGGGCACGCACAGCAGGCCCTGCCTCCCTGAGCCAAGCCCGAAGCCTGCCTCAAAGCCCAGAGACACTGAGGGAGAGACACTTGACCCAGAGACAGACACCAATGACAGAAAAGGACATTAAGCAGAGTCAGCTGCCTAAGCCAATAGGACCTTGGGAGGGGTGTAAAGTCAGGCTTAATTTCTTTCTTTTCTTTTTCTTTCTCGAGACAGAGTTTCCCTATGGCTTTGGAGGCTGTCCTGGAACTCTCTCTGTAGATCACACTGGCCTCGAACTTACAGAGATCCACCTGCCTCTGCCTCCCGAGTGCTGGGACTAAAGGTGTGTGCCACCAATGCCCAGCCAGGCTTCATTTCTTTAACAAACGAGTCTGCACCCTGCTCTTTTACCCACCGACTCTTGGTGTCTGGGTCTTTGGTGCTGTATCTTCTCACCTCCTGCCCCAAGGGTTGTTCGGGTAGGGTAATCGGCAACATAAACTTACATAAAGAAACGGCACATTGAATTTAATGATCCCAGAAGAGATGAATCATCTACCTTGACTCCTTTTGCTGAGCACAAAATGCCATGTTGTAAGAGGTGTCCCATCTACCCAATTCCTCAAGCTCCAAATAAAGGGATCGTCTTTGCCCTCTCTTTCCTAAACAGCTCAAGCCCGGTCTACCCACAGTCATGCAGAGCAAGATCTAGTTGAAGCCTAGGCAGCCTACGTGTACTTGGCATACTTCACGAGATCTCCTTTTGTGCACGAATAGTGTGTATATTTATGCATGTGTGTGTGTACACATATGACCTACATTAAATGTATCCCATTTTGCAAATCCAGCTACAAATACTTAAAATAAGAAATAATTAAGAGATAACCCAGCGAGTAAAGTGCTGTGTGAAGACCCCAGTCCCGACCTCCAGCACATACACGGAAGGCCAGGTGTGGGATGTAGTGATACACATCTGTCATCTCAGAACAGGGCAGGCAGAGACAAGAGAAGTCCGCACCTTGGCTGGAGAGTTACTTTAGCCAAGTAGCGAGCACCAGGTTCAGTAAGAGACCACATCTCAAAAACTAGGCAGAGATTGGCAGGAGAACTGAGAACTGACACGCAGCCTCTGTACACACATACACACACACACACACACACACACACACACACACACACACACACACAAGTGCACACACAGAGTGAAAGGGTTAATAACTTCTTTGTCCTTTGGATCCTCAGCACAACTTAAATAAATGATTTGGCACCCACACAAGGGAGTATGGTATTCAGGAGAAAGAAAAGCCTGAAGAGATGAACCACAGAAGTGGGCATTTTAAGATACTGTTGTCATAGCATATAGAGATACGGACTCAAAGGCTTACAGCAGAGGATCACAGGCAAGTCTCCATTTTAGCAGTGCACCCTCTGTTGCAATTTCATCTCCTCCAAATTCTTGATTTCAATATTTTATGTGACAAAAGATCACTTACTGCACAGATGTCTTCGGCGGCACTGGGGATAGGGCTTTTAAAAACTGTCACTCAACCCTGACCATGACAGATGCACAAAATCCCCTCTCATCTCAGTGATGTCTCTTGTTTATATCACACAGACATTTTGACTTCAAGTTTCAAAGTTTGTCACTAGCTCGACACATGCTGTCAAGAAGTGTACTTTGATTTTACGCACCTTCATTGCTATGGGAATACTATTTCCCCATTCAGAATTTTCTGGCTGAGAACTCTTACCTTGACCCTTTAGGAATCATTACCCTATTTAAAGTTGTGAGCAAGGATTTTGTAGAGAAATTATATTTTCCTTCACAGAACTGCTTGGGTTCGATAGCTTACCTACAATACAACTACTGCAAGAAAGATGACAAGTGTTGGAGAAATTCTGCAATGAAAAAGTTGTTTTGTTACCGGGATCAGAAAGAATTTATGAAAGTGGAAATA